AGGTGCAGCCCCACTGAGCTATGTGGCTACTGTTCAGAAGCGACTTGGCCACAAATGATTCGCCCACTGTGGACATTTATATCAGCCAAAAACTCTAACCGGATGTTGATTCTTAATGTGGAAGGGAAAAAAAACAGATGACCCAAAGAAAAATCCACGCGACCACCGGGAAAGAAACACGCAAACTCCAAATATACAGCAGCATGCGTCCGGGTCAGAGATCGAACCCACAACCTCCTGTATACCAGGCGAGGTAGTTAACATCTCGCCACCGTGGCGCCCTGTGGCGGCACTCACAGCCTCGGGCGTTGTGTACATGAGGGCGGAGTTGGTGTCATGCGGTAGACACGTGCGTTCTCCACGTGCACCACGCAGCCTCGCCAACTCGTCACCTCGCTGCGTGCAGGAAGAGAAACTCACGGATGACGTCTCGTTCAAAACCCACGACGGCAACAACCCCCAACGGGTGACTTCACTCGAGTTCCCGTCAACGACGAAACGGCGAGGTTGTTTCACGCGAGTCGATGGCCCAGATTCCCTGGGGAATTCCCCGCTTTGCTGCTGCTGCTGCTGCTCGTGCGGGCATCTCCAAGTCTCCTCCAGAAGATCCGACGGAAGGGAAAACCCGCATTCGCCGAGGAGACGAACATCTGGCTCAATGAGATCCGTGCTCTTTTGAAACGTCTTAGGAAGGCGTCAGTGAGCGCCGTGGTGGTGGTGGTGGAATCGGCCGTCGGTACACCGACTCAATCGAACAAATCACCTGCCATTCCTTATCTCTGCATAGCGGCGCAATTTCATGTTTTAATGCTCGACCGCCCTCGTGGCCATCCACACGCGCCCACGAGCAGAACATGTGCAGTCATTGTTCTGCTGCGGCGCTCGACGATTGCGTTGAACTGTAACGTTGTTGTTGTTGTTGTTGTTTACCGTAGTCAAGGGACAACGATGTCGAGAGAGAGAGCGTGTGCGTGCGTGTGTGTGTGCCCCTTACCAACGGCAACTGGCAGACCAGCAGTATTTGTTGACTGCTGATGAGCTGCAGAAGGGCGAACCCGGCTCGGTGTTTGTGTCTTTAATCAAATGCTGCTGCTGCTCAATTCAAGCCGGTAATTCCGAAAGGCATATATGTTAAACGGTTTTAAATTGTACGTTTAAGATGTAGATCGGAGGTTGATTTGATGTAATACCACCTCGACATAAGGCATGCCATACCCCCCCCCCCCCCCCCCCCCCACGGAGCGCTCTGCAACACAATAACAGCGACGCTGCTGCGGTCGTTGCTGGCAATTGTCGATCTGTCGCCCAGCACGCGATTCGTGATCACGAGCCGGGACTTTTACCAAGAAGGAGACACGAGGATGTACATCTCAAAGGCAAGATAGACGGCAACAAATCCCCCATCCTGGCGGAATATAATTTTTTTTCATCTTATTTTTATATATTTCATTTCCTATAATTATCGCGTGAGTACGATGGTTGCCTGCCTTGTGTGATCAGTCATAATTGCAGTGCTACAGAATTCACGCAGAGCACCACACTCTCACCACACACACACCACACACACCACACTCTCACAACACACACACCACACACACACCACACTCTCACAACACATACCACACACACCACACAACACACACACACTCCGCACTCTCACAACACACACCACACATACCACACACACACCGCACTCTCACCACACACGAACACACCACACACACACCACACACACCACACTCTCACAACACACAACACACACACCACACAACACACACACCACACACACCACACTCTCACAACACACAACACACACACCACACAACACACACACACCCCGCACTCTCACAACACACACAACACACACATACCACACACACACACCGCACTCTCACCACACACACACCACACACACCACACTCTCACAACACACAACACACACACCACACACACTACATACACCACACTCTCACAACACACACAACACACACAACACACACACACACACCACACACACATAACACACACACACCGCACTCTCACAACACACACTACACACACCGCACTCTCACCACACACACACCACACACACCACACTCTCACAACACACACATACCACACACACCACACACACCACACTCTCACAACACACACACCACACACACCACACACACCACACACACACCACACACACCACACTCTCACAACACACACACCACACACACCACACACACCACACTCTCACAACACACACACCACACTCTCACAACACACACACACCACACACCACACACACCACACACCACACTCTCACAACACACACACCACACTCTCACAACACACACACCACACACACCACACACACCACACACACCACAACACACACACCACACACACCACACACACCACACTCTCACAACACACACACCACACACACCACACACACCACACTCTCACAACACACACACACCCTCACAACATACACACCACACACACCACACTCTCACAACACACACTACACACACACCGCACTCTCACAACACACACCACACACACACCCTGCACTCTCAAAACACACACACCACACACACACACACATACCACACACACACCACACACACCACACACACCATACACACACACCCCACTCTCACAACACACACACACAACACACACACAACACACACACACACCATACACACACCTCTATGTGTAAACTACAAACGTGCCTGCACAAGGAGTTTACCAATCCCGCATTGTCACAGTGGCAATAAATAAACATTCTCTGGATATGACGAGTAAACGAACGGTGACGATTTGTAGCGAAATGTCATTTTAAAAGATGTGTATCTCTGGTGATTTTTTTTATTTTAATGTTGCTTACCAGTTAAGGCCCACTGAGCCGGATAGCTACTTTTTTTTCAGAAGCGACCTGGTTATCACATATTATACCGCAATACGGCGGGGCAATCGTCTTCTAGAGAGTGGAAATTACCCGATGATTCCTAAAAAAAAATATCGTAATAATGAAGATTTACATAGCCTAAAGGCTCGCTTGCACGAGAGCCTTGCTGCAATTTCTGTCCAAAGTAATACGTTGACGCCGCTGTTTGTGTCTCGTGTGACACGAGCGGCGTAAGAGGTGAGCCACGGCCAAAGGAGAGCCACCGTCACCCACGCATCACCAGCCCGGCGCGCACTTCTCCATCATGCGCGAGAAATGAGAGGCTCGTGCCACGGCGGTGCAAACCAAAATGTGGCCCACGTACCGCAGTAAACCCACAGACGTGCCCATAGAGACTCAGTCAAACGTCGAGACTCAAAGGTTCCATATAGACTCACAGAGGCGCATACAGATTGATAGATACGCGTAGAGATCCATTAAAGACAAGCAACGGAAGCGTGATTGTGGCCGTGCAACCCAAACTTTGGTGAATATTAGTAAACCACTATAGCTTACGCTCCACCAACGGAAAAGCAGGAGCATCAAAACGACACGAACTTCTGACGGCCTCCCGTCGTGGCCAGCAGACCTCGACATTAGCATTTAGCTGACGAACGTTTCGCGGTCATCATGCGCAAGAATAAAACGCCAACATTGATGTTTGACCGATTACATTAACGAGTGTTTTGCGCGATGCGAGGGAGTGAATTCAGAGCACCCGGAGAAAGCCCCACCAGCACCATCACGCAATCGAGCGAGTAGGGAACTGCGCATTAACACATCGGGAACAACACTCTATTAAACTATTTTTTTATTTACCCAGGTAAGGCCCATTGAGCTATATACAGCTCTTTTTCAGAAGCGATCTGCCCACCACAAATGATAGCTCGACGAAGAGGCGTCTCGTCGTGTGTACATCCATAGCCGCCAAAGACTCTAAACGCGTGACGTTGATTCTAAAAGTTAAAGGGGAAAAAAAACCGGAAGACCCGGAGACAAATCCACGCGACCACGGGGAGAAAATGCAAACTCCAAATATCGAACCGACGACCTCCTGTATACCGGGCGAGGCAGATAACATCTCGCCACGGGGACGAGCAGTCTTCCGTCACCATCGTCCGTCACCCGTCACGTTTAAACCGAATCAGCCGCGAGACGATGTGCACGGGATGCGTCCGCTGGAGCGAAAATAAAAATGCAGAAGAGAATTTAACGGAGATGATGATGACGACGACGACGATCGTGATACGGCTGACGTGAGCGAGATCTGGCGATGCGTGCTGACAGCATCACAGCGCTGCTGCTGCTGCCTCATCTCTGCGAGATTCTCGTCAAGGTTGAACTTCTTTCGCACCGTACGTAGCCAAGCCTAGCTAATCGTAAAGGTGCGGGGGAAGGACACCAATGTGTCAGCCTGTGTCTTCCCGTAGAGCTCCTCACCTCGCTGTGTCTATCTGACGAGGAGCTTGTCACGCTGTGGATCAACCTCCTGGAGGGTAGCCCCCCCCAAACCCCCACCCCCCCCCCCCCCCCCCCGCTCGTGTTCCCACCACCTCCATCTTTCATCTCCACACGAACCCACGCCGCTGGTCTGGGGAACAATTTCCCTTTCCTCGTTCGTGGACATAATATCCTCCGCGCGTAGCGGCACCACAAACGCTGTTTACGTTTCCTATCTTAATGCTTCCTTTTAACGGCCCCCTTCTTATTCCACCAAGTGGGTCCCCTTCATTGCGAGCCGTGGCCACGTCTTGGCGGGCACAGACACCCGTCGACAATTTACGACGCAATCGCCGACCGCCTCGCGTCGCATTTCTCCTTCGATGACACCGCCAGTCCAGGCAGCGGACCCTCTTTGTTGTTGTTGTTATTGTTGTTGTTGCGCCTCCATGTCCGGCGTCGTCCGCGCGGAGGAGCGACCCCGCAGCGGAGCCTCGCGCAGAGCTCAACGCGGACGCGCGCGGCGCGTGCGTCACGAAATGATTACTCGCCACTCGCAGTGGTGACCGGGAGCCACCCCCCCCCTCTCCGTCTCTCACCCCACCGCTTCACTCACCTGTGCAGAGGTGCCCGTTCGCTTCGGAGGACCCGGTGGCTCTGTTCGGAGCGGCAAGCACGAGGACGAGCAGAAGGAGCGGAGGCCGCGGCGCGGGTCGCATCACCATGCTGCTGCTGCTGCGTCTTCTTCGTCTTCTTCGTCTTCAGCAGCAGCAGCAGCAGCCAGCCGCGCCTCGGAAGAATGAAAATTCTCGCGCGTCGCTTCCCATCAATAGTCCGCGCCCTGGGGGCGCCCGGCGCGATCCGTCCCGCGGGGAGACATGGCCCGGGGGGTTCGCGGGAGGGGGGTGGGTGGCGAGGAGGTGAAGTCACAGCTCACAGCAGAGGAGTCGAGCCGCCGAGGATGGCACGGGTCGCGCAATCTGCTTCGACTCTCGACGCGCGACTCATGCCCGCCGGCTCGTGGCGCGGTGCGGCTCACGAGTGCGCAACCTGCATCACGCGCGTGGATCCCCCCATCTACTTCCCCCGAGAGCCCCCCCCCCTCCCCCCACCGCCACCTCCTTCCTCGATCCGCGGCCCGGCACGGCAAACACGACGAGGATGTGGTGCGATGGTGACCAGCGCACCCAGTTCGATCCCCGGCGATGGAGGCAGGCGTGAGAGAGAGTGAGTGTGTGTGTGTGTGCACCCACAGCTGAGTGAGCGAGACACTCAGCACAGGTGAGAGAGAGGGAGAGACACTCAACACAGGCGAAACAACCAGCACAGGCGAGGGATCCGGAGCAGGAGAAGAGACGGACACCCAGCACAGGTGAGAGAGAGGCACAGGTGAATGAGAGAAACCCAGCACAGGTGAGAGAGAGGCACAGGTGAGAGAGAGAGAGACCCAGCACAGGTGAGAGAGAGGCACAGGTGAGAGAGAGAGACCCAGCACAGGTGAGAGGCACAACACAGGTGAGTGAGAGAGACCCAGCACAGGTGAGAGAGAGGCACAGGTGAGAGAGAGAGACCCAGCACAGGTGAGAGAGAGGCACAGCACATGTGAGAGGCACAGCACAGGTGAGTGAGAGAGACCCAGCGCAGGTGAGAGAGAGGCACAGCTGAGTGAGAGAGACCCAGCACAGGTGAGAGAGAGGCACAGGTGAGTGAGAGAGACCCAGCACAGGTGAGTTGGCCGGCCCTGCCTCTGCGCCGCTGGGGTCGCTGTGACTGCGCGCGACGCGGCGCACTCGGGGTCGCGATCCGGGGCTCGGCCACTTGTAAGGGAGCGCCGGGGCCGCGGGCGCGTTTGAAGTTCGCCGGTGTCGTCATTGCGCCTTCGTACGAGAGGGGGTGGAGGAGGAGGAGGGCGGTGGTGGTGGTGGTGGTGGGAGGGGAGCGGCGGCGGGGGGGCGTTGTGGCTGTGTCAGGGGGAGATGTCGCATCGATAAGAGTGGGGCTTGGGACTCCCGGCACCAGAGCAAGAGCGAGCGAGCGAGCGAGCGAGGGAGGGTCCACGGGGCCGTGCCCGCGGTGCGTAGCGGGGGCAGCCCCCGCGTCGCGTCGCATTTCGCGAACACTCGGCGGTCTTCATTCGAGCGCGACCCGAACGTGAGCAGAGGGTTAACTGAGGGGGTCGCGACGGGGTGAGAGCGACGCGTCCAGGTGACTTTGCGCGAGCGGTCACGAGTGGGCGACATGGCGCTTGTTGGTGGCTTCACGTGAATTTGGGGGCGCGCGTCGGTGGCTTGACACGCGCAGGTGATTGACAGCGCGTCGCATAAGACGACACACGCACACACACTCGTGTCAAAAGCCAAGAGAAAGTGCAACCAGCCGTACGAGTTCACGTCTCCTTTTTCTAAATGCGCAAAAAAAATAATCACCGTCTTTCTGCTCGGGAAACTATATATGTTTTTTTTTTAATCAGTGAGCGAGATACCGAAACGCGTTTTTCGACGAGAGGGATGAATATTTATGCTCGAAACTGGGTATTCATTCGGCTGCCACACGTCTCGCGTTCACGCGGTGAGCTTTGCGTCCAGACTTGCTGCCTGGATGCGTGGCGGTTAAGCAGCTCGATGCGCTGCGAACCCGGCCACCCGAGTTCAAATCCGGCTCACCACGGGCAACTCCGGTGACGATTATCCGAACCGGTGCCTCTCTCAGGTCAACTCAGTCTCAAGCGAGTACCTCGTGCGATGTGCAAATCGACAAAAAAAGAGAAACAAAGGCGCGGCCGGGAGTTGTGCTGGCCACCCACCCCATCGCGTGCCGTGCCGCCCTTAATTGGTGCTCGCTAACAGCCCTTGCCCCAAACAGTCCGTTAAAGGTTATCCGTCTTTGTATTTGTCTTCGTGCACCTGCACAGTGCCCGTGTTATGTGCACCGAGCGCACCTGTGTACACGCGCGGCTGCCGATGACGCAGACGAATTGAACCTCCAGCCTTGGCACAAAAGGCCCAGTGGAGGCATTCCAATTAACCTCTGCCTATCGCCCAAAGGCCGGGGTGGGGGTAGGGGGGTGAGCCGCTCGCCACACGTGATTGTTTCTCACTGCCTAATGGCTATAATCAGGGTGGGGGGGCTCATTCATCTGCACGGGGGGTGGGAGGTGGTACCGGGGGCCTGAGTAGTGCCACGCGGTAGAGTGTCCGGACTTGGTGTGGCCCCTTTCGCCGGTTGAGCGGGACTGATATTGGCAGGTGCGCCCAGAGCTCGTGCGGAGGAATCTGAAAATACCCGCAGCTGTAAATCGTCACCGCAGCAGCAGCCGCGTAATCTATTGTCACGTGGAGCAATTATTTCCTCAAGTGTATAAAATTCGCAGCGCTCACACACGCAACACGTGCACACATACACACACACACATATATAGCAGCAGACTAACACGTTGGGTTTTTGTCACAGAAATGGGCACATGCCAAGAGTGAAGAGTCATTATGAGTGGGCTGCTCGGTAATTATACTCGTCTAGTCTGGGCGATGTGGCCCTTGTCATTGCATGGGTGTTTGCAAATTTGTCGTTCGAACCCAAAACTCAAACATTGCTCGTGTACCAATCGCCTTCAAATGTCGTACGGATATGAATTTAGCAGTGGCTACATACATTGTGGCCTTAAGTTGTGAATCAAAGTCCTGGCTTCAGAGGACTCTAAGAGTGAATCCCGATCGTGCCGTCGACGAATGCTCTCAGTAGACAAGACCTTACAAAGAGACCCATAGACTCATACAGAGACCCATAGACTCACACAGAGACCGATAGACTCAAACAGAGACGCATATACTCACACAGAGACCCATAGACTCACACAGAGATGCATAGACTCACACAGAGACCCATAGACTCGCACAGAGACCCATAGACTCACACAGAGACCCATAGACTCAATCAGAGACCCATAGACTCACACAGAAGCATAGACTCACACAGAGACGCATAGACTCACACAGAGACCCATAGACTCAATTAGAGACCCATAGACTCACACAGACCCACAGAGTCAAACAGAGAACCAGAGACTCACACCACATAGAAAACTAGAGATTCACATAAAGAACCATAGACTTGCACAGAGACAAATAGACTCGCACAGATAACCATATATATTCACACAGAGACAGATAGACTCACACAGAGACCCATAGACTCATACAAAGACTCGGAGACTGACACATAGACCCGTATATTCCGACAGATACCCATAAACTCACACATAGACCCATAGACTAACACAGAGACCCATAGACTCATACAGACCCACAGTCAACAGAGAATAATAGACACACACCACAAGGAAAACCAGAAATTAACACAGAGAACCCATATACTCACACAGAGACCCATAGACTCACACAGAGAGGCATAGACTCACATCGAGACCCATAGACTCACTCAGATACCAATAGACTCACACAGAGACCCATAGACTCACACAGCGAAACATAGACTCACACAACGACCCATAGACTCGCACAGAAAAGTATAGACTTACACAGAGACCGATATACTCACAGAGAGACCCATAGACGAACAAAGAAGCATAGACTCACACAGAGACCCATAAACCCCATAGACGCACACAGAAGCATAGACTCACACAGAGACCCATAAACTCACACATAGATCCATAGACTTACACATAGATCCGTAGACTCACACAGAGAACCATAGACTCACACAGAGACAATTGACTCACACAGAGATCCATAGACTCACTCAGAGACCCATAGACTCACACATAGACCCATAAACTCACACATTGACCCATAGACTCACACAGAGACCGATAGACTCACTCAGAAACCCAAAGACTCACACAGAGACCCATAGACTCACACAGAGACCCATAGACTCACACAGAGACCGATAGACTCACTCAGAAACCCAAAGACTCACACAGAGACCCATAGACTCACACAGAGACGACAATTGACTCACACAAAGATCCATAGACTCACTCAGAGACCCATAGACTCACACATAGACCCATAGACTCACACCAAGACCGATAGACTCACTCAGAGACCCAAAGACTCACACAAAGACCCATAGACTCACACAAGGCCCCATAGACTCAGACAGAGACCCATAGACTCACACAGAGACCCATATACTCACACAGAGATCCATAGATGCACACAGACGCATAGACTCACACATCGACCTGTAGTGACATTGGGGATGTCACTGTGTGGTGCCGGCCTGGGAGGGCCGTGGCGTGCAATGTACTTACGTCGCTGACAGCATCGTGTGTGTTGCTGAGTAAGCCCGACTCCAGCAGAGCGCGGCGTGCGATGCACCGTCATCGCGTACACCCCATAGGCGGGTGTAGTACCAGCCCTAGCGGGGCTTGGTGAGCGCTTGGATAGCGTGGGCACCATGCATAGCGTCTAGTGCGGGCTCCCACAAAGGGGAGCGGGAGAGTGTCAGCCCAGGGACAGGGTTGCTCCGGGCCATGGCACTCTGGTTGACCCTGTAGACACGTGATCCGGAGTGTCCATAGAGAGGCCCCCAGGTGGGGGGAGCTAGGGGAGAGAGCTCTCGAGAGGGATCGAGAGGGAGCTAAGAACGCTCGCGAAGAGACCACGGTCACTTCGTTCAACAAGCTGGAAGCTCCACGTCCTACGTCTGAAGAGGCACCAACACGTGGCCCGGGACCCGAGTGAGTGTCCGGTCCATCATAGCCGTAACTCCTGTATGGTAGTGTAGTTAGCTGGGTGGTCACTACCCTAGGCTATATCTGGTAAAGGGGCTGTTACCCCTTTTGTATATATGTGTTGTGAAATAAATGTGTTGCCTCTGAAGAACAACGTTTGCGACTCAGTTGGACTCACTACAACTGGTGTCAGAAGTGGCCAACACGCTAATCTATACAGCTTGCGGTAGACTATGTCTACAAGTCGCAAACGACATACCAGGACGTCAGCCAGCGAGAAAGAGGACGTCGTGCTGCCTATGGCTCCGGAAGATAGAGGGGAGATGCTGCCAGCGGAGCAGAGCGCCGTCTGAGCGCGCGATGCCTCGCCATCGGCGGAGGCGACCCTCCGGGAGGCGCACGGTCGCCTCGCGGAGCTCCTCCATGCTCCAGCTTCGATCCTC